TAAGCTCCTCAGCTGTTGTTAGTGTATTTTATGTGTGGCCCAAGACATTTCTTCCAATATGGTCCAGGGAAGCCAAAAGATTGGACACTCTGGTGTAGTCTGTTGTTTCCAGTGTTACTATACTGAATATTGTAGACAATTGTAATGCAGTGGTAAGAATTTGTGCATCTAAATGTATCTATACATAGAAAAAATTCAGTAAAAATATAAGAATAAAAAAATTTACTCTTATAGAACACTCACTATGAATGGAGCTTATAGGATTGGACTTTGCTCTGGTTGAGCTGAGTGGTGAGTGAATGTGAAGACTTAGGACATAAGTCTTCATGTGGTACACCACCATAGACTTCATAAACATTGTATGCTTAGGCTACACTAAATTTATAACGAAAATTCATTTTTTTAGACAGATTCTTACTCTGTCACCCAGCGTAAGGCATAATTGTGGTTCACTGCAACCTCTGCCTCCCAGGTTCAAATGATTCTTCTGCCTCAGCCTCCTGAATAGCTAGACTAGGCACATGCCACCACACCCAGCTAATTTTTTGTAGTTTTTGTAGAGATGGGTTTTTGCTATGTTGGCCAGGCTGGTCTTGAACTGCTGACCTCAAGTGATCCTCCTGCCTTGGCCTCCCAAAGTGGATTACAGGCCTGAGCTACTGTGCCCGCCAAAATTTTCTTTCTTCAATAATAAATTAATCTTAATTTGCTGTAACTTTTTTACTTTATAAACAAAAATTGTTTACTTCTTAACTCTTTTGTAATGATAGAACTTAACAAACACACTGTAGAGTTGTACAAAAACATTTTCTTTTTTTTTTTTTGAGTAAGAATATCACTGTATTTATTTTCCAACAGGTAATTTTTCTATGGCTTCAACAGTTTCTTTCCAATGTTAAAAGAAAAAATCCCCAAGTTTAGAACTGGATCACTTGGCCCTTTCTCTTTTTATCTCCTCCCAGTTGAAAATGCTTGCATCTCTTAATGGCCAGCATCCTCGTGGATCTGCAGTTAGGCTCAACACATTCCAGCCGGAGCACAATCTTCTTTGTGGTCTTAGCCTTCTTCCGGAAAATTGGCTTTGTCTGCCCACCATAGTCACTCTGCTTCCGATCATAGCGCCTCTTTCCCTGGGCACACAAGGAATTCTTGCCCTTCTTATACTGTGTCACTTTGTGAGGCTGATGCTTGCCACACTTCTTACAGAAGGTTCTTCAGGTTTTATGTACGTTGACCATCTTTGCAGAAGGGCTGGTCTGTCTGTATGATGAAAACCAGAAACAGCATCCAAGACACTCACCTCGCGCAGCTCTCGCCTTGCAACAGGAAAGGGAAACATTTTCTTTTATCTTTATTCTATGAACTTTTTTCATATATTACTTTTTTTTTTTTTTTTTTTTGAGAGAGAGGTCTCACTCTGCCACCCAGATTTAAGTACAGTGTTATGACCACGGCTGACTGCTGCTTTGACTTCCCAGGCTTAAGTGATCCTTCCACCTCAGCCTCCTGAGTAGCTGGACTAAAGGCATACACCACCATACCTGACTAATTTTTCAATATCTTTGTAGAGACAGGATTTCATTATGTTTCCCAGGCTGGTCTCTAGCTCCTGGGCTCAAGCAATCCTCCCACTTTGGCCTCCCAGATTGCCGGGATTACAAGCATGAGCCACTGCCCTCAGCCTACTTTTTTTTTTTTTTTTTTAACATGCATTTTTGTTGTTGTTTTTACATTTTAAACTTTTTTGTTAAAAACTAAGATGGAAACACACACTTTAGCCTTGTTCTACACAGGGTCAAGATCATCAATATCGTGGTCTTCCACCTCCGCATCTTATTCCACTGGAAGGGGCAAAACACACCTGGAGCTATTATCTCCTATAATAACAATGCTTTCTTCTGAAATACTTCCGGAAGAACCTGCCTGATGCTGTTTTACAGTTAACTTTTTTTTTTTTTTTTTTTTTTTTTTACATAAGTAGAAGGAGTGCACTCTAAAATAATGATAAAAAGTATAGTATGCTGGCCGGGCACAGTGGCTTCTGCTAGTAATCCCAGCCATTTGGGAGGCTGAGGTGGGAGGGTCGCTTGAGCCCAGGAGCTTGAGACAGGCCTGGACCATGAACTGAGACCCCCTTCTCTACAAAAACTAAAATAATTAGCCAGGCATGGTGGCACACACCTATAGTCTCAGCTACTCAGGAGGCTGAGGTGGGAGAATCACCTGAGCCCAGGAGATTGAGGCTGCATTGAGCTATGACTGTACCATTACATGCCAGCCTGAGTGACAGAGTGAGACCTTGTCTCAAAAAAAAAAAAAAAGGAAATACATAAACCACTAATATAGTTGTGTATTAGCATTATCAAGTATTATGTATGGTACGTAACTGCATGTGCTATGCTGTTATACAACTGGCCACACAGTAAGCTTGTTTACAGCAGCATCACCACAGACACATGAGAATACATGGTGCTATGACATCGTGACAGCTGCCATCATCACTAGGTGATAGGGAGTTTTTAGCCCTATTATGTCTTATGGTACTGCTGTCATGTATGTGGCCTGTCATTGACTAAAAACATCATTATGCGGTGCATGACTATCTTTGCCATTGCCCGACAGGAGAGGTGAGGTTTACACAATCCACTCTCATGGACTTCACCAGAATTTGATAAAGCATTCTTAAACTTTTCAGGATGTGAAAGCATGACAATTTGTTATTGTCTCAGCTGTTTGTCAGCGGTAGAAGTTTATAGTGGGCTCCCTGCAGTGGTACAAATACGTAAACTGCTTTGACTATAAGCTTTCTCTTCCACACAGGAAAGCATGTTGGGAGATAATTGCTCCCCACTCGGTGTTTTAAAGCTTTCCTCTTTAAACAAATGGTGCTGGGACAACTGCATAGCCACATGCAAAATAATGGAGTTGGGCCCCTATCTCGTATTATATGCAGAAATTAAAGATGGATCCATGACCTAAATATAACAGCTGAAACCATAAAAGTTTTGGAAGAAAAAATAGAATTAAATCTTCATGATCTTGAATTTATTAATGGATTCTTAGATATTACACCAAAAGTATGAGCAATAAATTAAAAAAATAAAGTGGACTTCCTCTAAATTAAAAACTTGGGTGCATCAAAAGTATCAAGTAAGTGAAAAGACAGCCAACAGAATGGGGGAAATAGTTGCAAGTCGTGTATCTGAAAAGGGTCTAGTATCAGAATATATGAAGAGCTCATATAATTCATTAATAAAAAGACAAGCCAGGCGAGGTGGCTCACGCCTGTAATCCCAGCACTTTGGGAGGCCGAGGTGGGTGGATCACAAGGTCAAGAGTTTGAGACCAGCCTGACCAAGGTGGTAAAACCCCGTCTCTACTAAAAATACAAAAATTAGCCAGGTGTGGTGGCACGTGCCTGTAATCCCAGCTACTCGGGAGGCCGAAGCAGGAGAATCCCTTGAACCCAGGAGGTGGAGGTTGCAGTGAGTCGAGATTGCGCCATTGCACTCCAGCCTGGGCAACATAGTGAGACTCTGTCTCAAAAAATAAATTAATTAATTAATAAAAGTTTTAAAAAATAAAAAGACAAACCATCCACTTTAAAAATGGGCAAAGGCCTGAATAGACATTTCTCCAAAGAAGATATGCAAATGGACAACAAGCTCATGAGAAGATGTTCAGTATCCTTGGTCTTTAGGGAAATGCAAACCCAAACCACGTTGAGTTACCATGTCACATGCACTAGGATGGCAGTAAGAATATCAATAATAAGGAAAATAACAAGTGTTGGTGAAGATGTGGAGAAACTGGAACCCCCATAGTCTGCTTGTGGACATGTAAAATGGTTCAGCTGCTGTGAGAACAACTCTGTGGTTCCTTAAAAAGATAAGCATGAATTTCCACGTGATCCAGCAAATCACCTCCTAGGTACATACCCCTCAAATGACAGCAAGTATACATATATAGGTATACACATGTTCATACACACTAGTCACAGTAGCCAGAAAGTAGAAACAACCCATGTGTCTATCAGTGAACAAAAGGATAAACAAACTGTAGTACGTACGTACAATGGAATATTATTCACCCATAAAGAGGAATGAAGTACTGATATAAGCTATAATGTGAATGACCCTTGAAAACATGTTCAGTGAAATAAGCAGATGTGTCACACATTGTGTGATTGCATTTATATGAAGTATTCAGAATAGGTAAAACCATAAAGACAAAGGAGATTGGTGGTTGCTAGGGGTTGGGAGGAGGGGAAATGGGGAATAATTGCTTAATGGGCACAGAGTTTCCTTTTGGGTTGATGAAAATGTTTTAGAACTAGACAGGTGGTGGTTGTACAACACTGTGAATGTACTCAATACCACTAAATTCTTCACTTTGAAATGGTTAATTTTATGTTATTTGGATTTCAGCTTTTAAAAAGGTCTACAAAAAATAAGGCTTTCACAGGCTTTGCTGCTTTAATGATTAGTAGTAACAGGTGCTTGGTAGATACCAGTATTTCAGGACACAATTGTTCAGAGCCACTGTCGTGCACCACCATTCCCAGCTAAATTTTTTGTATTTTTAGTAGAGGCGGGGTTTCACCATGTTGGCCAGGCAGGTGTTGAACTCCTAATCTCAGGTGATCCACCTGCCTCGGCCTCCCAAAATGCTGGGAATACAGGTGTGAGCCGCCATGCCCAGCTAGGAATTTTTTTTAACAGTGCTGTGTGTATCTTAGTTTCTTCATCAGTAAAACAGAGATGGTAGTAGTACCTGTCTTGTAAGTTGTTGTGAGAAGTAGAGATACTGGCTATAAAATGGGTGGTACAAAAATGGATACACTGTAGGTGTTTAAGAAATGATGGCTCTGACCATCAATCCATGGCAGTTAAATGCTGGAGCCCACAGGGGAGGCCAGGAGGATGGCAGAGAATTCTGTTCTGTGGTTTCCCTGTGATTAATGCAGACTCTGGTTTCTCTATATTCCTTTCCTTGCCCAGTATTGATCCTCCAGAAGGTGGAGAATGGAGACCTGAGCAACAAGATTCTGAAGATCACTGATTTTGGCCTGGCTCGAGAATGGCACCGAACCACCAAGATGAGTGCAGCAGGGACGTACGCTTGGATGGCACCTGAAGTCATCCGGGCCTCCATGTTTTCCAAAGGCAGTGACGTGTGGAGGTAAGGTCCACAGGGGCAAGGACAGCATTTCCCAGGTCCTTCTTGGTGGCACATACATTTCAAGACTTGGAGAATTGAGGTTACATAGAAACCCCGGCACCCAAAATAGGTCTAAGTGACGTCCCCCCAGAGTCATCTATGCTAATTCCCATGTTGCCAGGGGACAGTTTCTAATGCTTTCATCTACCAAAAAAAATCCCTCAAGTGTTATACGTAGGCCGCTTTGTGCTGGTGACTGCTCCCTAGGAAAGGCCAATAGATTCCAGGGGCAACATGTACTCCCATCTCTGCCCTGTAAGATGGGAAGGATACTCAGTCCCTTCTGGAGATCTTCGTGAGGATCAGCCTGGCTTGCTCAGCAACAGTGCTAGGCTTTCGTGGCTGTTACTGCTGAACTTGGGAAGGGGATTGACCCAATGTCCTTACTTTAAGCTCCTGAACCAATGACTATTCTTTGTGCAATCTCTTTCTCTTGTTGGCCTAAAATTATCTTTTCCAGGTATCCAGTTAATCTTTCAGTCAATGTTCTATCTGTTGACATTGACCCAGAAATGGGAAAAAACAGTTCCCAAGTATGTACCCAGAACTGCAGAGCCATAGACTAGAAATGACCAGCCATCCTCCTAGTAAATATGAGCCCAAAAGGTTGCAAGGAAATAGGTCTAAAGATTTGCCCAGCTGAGGAAGGATGAGCAGCTACCCGGTATATGTCGTCATGGCTGTGAGACAGTAGCATCACCTTGGTATACAAAAGAAAGGATTGAAGCTTATCACTGTATATCAGTCCATGGAGTTATTGTCCTGACGTGTTGTAAAGTGAGCTTCTGTGTGTGTGCGCGTGTGCGTGTGTATTTTAAATAATTTAAAAATATTTATTGAGCTATTATTCATCTTGAGCTATTATTCACATACCGTAAAGCTCATCCTTTGTACACTTTAGAGTGTATAAGTTGGCCATATACAGTGGCTCATACCTGTAATCCCAGGACTTTGGGAGGTTACAGTGGGAAGATCTCTTGGGCCCAGGAGTTTGGACCAACCTGGGCAACGTAGTGAGACCCCCATCTCTACAAAAAATTTAAAAATCAGCCAGGTATGGTGGCATGCACCTGTAGTCCCAGCTACTCAGGAGGCTGAGATGGGAGGATTACCTGAGCCTGGGAGGTTGAGGCTGCAGTGAACTGTGATTGCACCATTGCACTTCAGCCTTGGTGACAGTGAGACCCTATCTCAAGAAGTAAATAAGCATGTAAGTCAATGGTTTTTAGTATATTTAAAAGGTGTGTATGGGTCACTTGTTATTAGTTTCCTAGGGCTGCTATAGCAAATTACTGAACCTAGTGGCTTAAAGCAACAAAGTACATGCTTTTGTAGTTTGGAGACCAGAAGCTTGAAAGTGATATGGGCAAGGCCACACCCTCCAGAGACCGTAGTGGAGATAATGATTCAAATAAGGATTCTGGGTATTAGGACATGGACATAGCTTTAAGCGTCACCATTCAGCCCATTACAACCACTTTCTATTTCCAGAACTTTTTTTTTTTTTGAGTTGGAGCCTCACTCTATCTCCCAAGCTGGAGTGCGGTGGCACAATCTCAACTCACTGCCACCTCTGCCTCCCAGGTTCAAGCGATTCTTCTGCCTCAGCCTCCCAAGTAGCTGGGATTATAGGTGCACGCCACCATGCCTGGCTAATTTTTATATTTTTAGCAGAGATGGGAGTTTGCTGTGTTGGTCAGGCTGGTCTCGAACTCCTGACCTCAACTGATCTGCCTACCTTAGCCTCCCAAAGTGCTGGGATTATAGGCGTGAGCCACCGTGCCTGGCCAATTTCCAGAACATTTTTTATTACCCCAAAAAGAAGCCCCATATGTATTATCAGTCATTTCCTAATCCTTCTTCCTTCTACTCCCTAGCAAACACTAATTTACTTTCTATCTGTATGAATTTGCTTATTCTGGACTTTTCACAGAAATGGAATCATACCATGTGTGGTCTTTTGTGACTAGGCTTTTTTCATTTAGCATAATGTTTTCGAGGTTCGTCCATGTTGTATCTTGTATCAGAATTTAATTTCTTTTTTAAGGCTTAATATCTTGAATTAATTGCTTTAATAAAAAAGAAAAAAAGGCTTACTAATATTCCATTGTATGGATAGACCATATTTGTTTATCCATTCGTCAGTTGACGGGCATTTGGGGGGTTTTGCTTTTTGGCTGTTATGAATAATGCTACTGTGGACACTAGTGTACAACACAAGCTTTTGTGTAAGCATATTTTTTCAGTTTTCTTGGATCTATATCTAGGAGTGAAATTGCTAATCATGTAGCAGTTCTGTGTTTAACTTTTTGAGGAACCACCAAACTTTTTCATCATAACTATACCATTTTATTATATTCCCATTACCAATGTATGAATGTTCCAGTTTCACTACATCTTTCCAATACTTGTTATTATCTGTGTTTTTAAGAAGAGTTACCATGTCCATCCTTGTGGATGGGAAATAGTATTTTATTGTGATTTCTATTTGCATTTCACTAAATGACTAATGATGTTGAGTATCTTCTCATGTACTTATTGACTAATTATATCTTTGAACCTGAACAAATGTCTGTTCAAATCCTTTGCCAATTTAAAAATTAGAATATTTGTCTTTTTTTTTAATTTTCTTTTTTTTTTTTTAATTTTTTTTGGGGGTGCTGTGACTCGGATATACTTGTCTTTTTATTGTTGAGCTGAAAGAGTTCTTTCTATTCTCTTGTCAGAAAAATGATTTGCAAATATTTTTTTCCATTCTGTAGATTGTTTTTCCACTTTCTTAGGGCTAGTCTTTGAAACAGTGTTCTTAATTTTGATGATGTCTGTTTACTTTGTCATCTGTGTCATATCTAAAAAGCATTGCCTAATCCAAAGTCATGAAGACTTACACATCTAAATTTTTTTTTCTAAGAGTTTTATAATCTAGCTCTTACATTTATGTCTCTGATCCATTTTGACTTAATTTTTGTATGTGGTGTGAAGTAGGGGTCCAACTTCATTATTTTTCATGTGGCTATTCAGTTATTCTGGCCCCATTTATTGAAAAGACTATTTTTTCCCGTCAAATTATTTGTCTGGTCACTTTTATCAAATGTCAATTTACGAGAAATATGAAGGTTTATTTCTAGATTCTCGGTTCCACTCCATTAATCTATATCTGTCCTTATGCCAATACCACCCTTTCTTTTTTTTCTTGAGACGGAGTTTCGCTCTTGTTACCCAGGCTGGAGTGCAATGGCGCAATCTCGGCTCACCGCAACCTCCGCCTCCTGGGTTCAGGCAATTCTCCTGCCTCAGCCTCCTGAGTAGCTGGGATTACAGGCACGTGCCACCATGCCCAGCTAATTTTTTGTATTTTTAGTAGAGACAGGGCTTCACCATGTTGACCAGGATGGTCTCGATCTCTTGACCTTGTGATCCACCCCCCTCGGCCTCCCAAAGTGCTGGGATTACAGGCGTGAGCCACCGCGCCCGGCCCCCACCCTTTCTTAATTGGTATGACTTTGTGGTAAATTTTGAAATTAGGAGATGCGATTCCAACTTTGTTCTTTTGAAGATTGTTTTGGCTATTCTGAGTCCTTTGCATTTAATAAATCTTGGGATAATTTTGTTAATTTCTACAAAATAGATGGCTGGGATTTTGATGGGAATTGCATCAAATCTGTAGCTTTGTGGACCATTGACATCTTCCTCCCTGCCCCCCGCCCCAGACAGAGTCTCATTCTTGCTTGAGCTGGAGTGCAGTGGTGTGATTATGGCTCGCCACAGCTTTGACCTCCTAGGCTCAGTTGATCCTCCTGCCTCAGCCTCCTAAGTAGCTGGAGCTGCAGGCATGCTCCACTTTTTCTATTTTTTGGAAGGACAGGGTTTCGCCATGTTGTCCAGGCTAGTCTCGAACTCCTGGGCTCAAGCTGTTCATCTGCCTTGATCTCCCAAAGTGCTGGGATTAGAGGTGTGAGTCACTGTGCGTGGCCCTATAGGTATCTTAGTAAGTTGTCCAGTCCGTGATCATGGGATATCTTTCCATTTATTTAGAACTCCTTTAACTTTTTTCAGTGATGTTTTGTAGCATCTGTATATTGAATCTTATTTTACCATGCACTAATTACAGGGTGAAGTAGCTAATGAGAAGAAGTGAGTTTAACTTTCCTTGTACTATCTGACCTGATCTCATTAAGTTGAGTTGTATACTGATACTCAGCTATTTTTGATGTATAAAATCAGCAATTTCATGTTTCAGTTTAACACTTTCATTGCTTGACCATATGCTAATGAGATTAACTAATACATTAATTAAGCTAAGCTGCTATTACAAAGAGGCCTGCAGATATGGAGGCTTAAATGAGATAGAAGTATATTCTCTTTCAAGAACTAGTCTAGATAGTCCAGGCTGGCAGGGCAACTGTGTCCCATGAGATCTTTTAGGAACCTAGGTTCTTCTAGATTCCCCCAGTGCACTGACCTTGACCAAATGGTTAAATGGGGTGACTGTTACATGTGTATTACAGTTTTCGTAAAAGAGGAAGGAGAGCTTATTCATGTCAAGCACAGTTTATCTTAATTTGGAGAGCATCCAGAAGTTGTACACATCTCTGCACTCCCCATTTGCCTGCACTTGGTTATGTGGGCACACCTGGCTCCAAGGGAGGCAGACAAATGTATGTTCTAGCTGGACAACTGTGTGCCCCACTAAAGCTCTTACTATGGAAAAGCAGGAAGAGTGGCTTTGAGGGGACAAGCAGCCACTTGTCACACTCAGCTTTCTCTTGCGTTTCTTAATAGAAAACCATTACTTCTCAGCAACATGATTGTTATCTACGTCCAATATTCCTGCTAGGTTTCTTCTCCCAGACTAACCCTGAAATTGCCCAGGTTTTATTGTCACACACTCCAGAGGTTTCTGCTGGCGATGATTTGGACAGAGTTGTGTCACGTATCCAAGCATGTTCCCAGTGGGAAGG